GATTTCATTCCCTGTTCATTCAAATGGGATACAAATGATCCCACTGTCACAAAGCAGTACTTCTCTCATAGAGCATCTCCACCGGGGGACTAAACGCGGGACTAACTACATTAGCTACTCAAACCCGATTTAGCTTCTCCACCGGAGCCCTAAATGGGGTTCTAAACCAAGAAAATCCGTTTCGGGCCCTACACAATTCCTACATTTAGGACCACATAGCACCCCATATAGATCCCCTGCTTCGCATTTCACACATGTGATATTCCACACTTCTCCAAACACAACCCCCAATATCCTCCCCATATCTATCGTCGGCACCATATCAATAAACCTACCCCTGCCTCCAACCAATCTCAACTCGCTCGCTATGGCCAACAACAACGAGGAAAATGATAACGATGAAAACGTTGGCATTGGTGAGTTCCTATTTTGATCCCTTCATCATTTACACATATTTGATTTCTAACTATGTTACACTACCGATTGACCAACTCAGACACACCCGGCGCCCCCAAGGAATCCCAAGACAAGTCGGGCGAGGAGAAGAAAAAGGCGCCAAATTATACTGAGCCGGAGGACTACGAGTTGTGTCGAGCCTGGGTTCAGGTCTCCGAAGACCCCGCCGTCGGGACGAATCAAGAGGGGAGTACCTTTTGGCAACGCGTCTGGACAGTCTATCGTGAAGCAGTACCTTCGCCAAAACGACCAGTAGCCAGCTTGAAGAAACGGTGGAGCAACAATTTGCAGCCCGCTATCAACAAATTCCGTGGTATTGTTCACCAAGTCGAGGGGCTCAACGAGAGTGGGGCATCGGTAGAGGATCAGCTCAACCGAGCTCTTCGGCTGTACACCCAAGACCAGGAGACACACTTCAAGCACCTCAGATGCTATAATCTACTTGTTAAGAGTCCGAAATGGAACTCCTACTGCCGCGATAGTAATCAAAAGGAGACCGGGAAGAAAAAGCGAGCCCGAAGTCCTAGTAGCGAAGCACCTCAATCACAACTTGCGTCCACACTGGCACCATCCGATCCCGTCTCTGACTTTGAAGGCACTGGGTCGACTCCATCAATGCTAGAGCGACCAATTGGCAAAAAAAAAGCGAAGATGATCAACCAACTTGCTGCCAAAGATCAAACCTGGAAAGACGAAGTTTCAGCGGCTCACAAACAGATTGCCCTGGAATCCAAACGACTAAACGACATCTTTGCCCACGATTCAACCTCCATCGATCGCATCTCGGGGAATGGGACGACTGCTTCTGAGCTCGCCATCATGACTACAGATCTTAAAGGTCTTGATGACGAGCAGAAGGAATACTTTAAGCTTAAAAGGGCTTCTATTCTCCAACCCTCCGTAATGAACAGACTCCAGTAACAATTAGGCTTCCTTTTCTTTTTTTTACCTCCTCATTTGGAACCGATCTGTCGACTGGCTTTTTTTTCCTTCTTCACATGAAACTGATTGACTCTTAACGCCTCCATTGAAACAAATCTCTCACTGTTTTTCATGTTCATCTCTTAGGATAACCAATCAGTTGTATTTTCTCTTTATCTCATATGACTCGCGTGACCAAATTTTGAATACTATTCAGATGAATTGCAATCAAACCCAGTGAGCTGGTTACTTTGAATTTCATTTCCGTCGAGCACAAATAAAAAATTTAAGTAATTAAGAACAAGAACATGTGAGCTCAGAATCC